GCGGCATGAAGCTGCCGCCGCCACCGCCGCCATCTTGGCTAAGGGCAGAAGGGCGGGCGGGAGCTGGCCGCGGTGCTGAAGCCGCCGCCGGGCCCCTGCCCTGCCTCCTGCGCGACTTCAGGCGAGCGCCGCCAGCCGCCGCCTCATCCCGGCAGGTCCAGCACTCCCCATCCCCAACCCCTACACACACACGAGCTCCAGGGAGGCTACGCCCCCTCCATCCCCGCTGGCACCTGTTCCCAGCAGCGCTTAGTAACTAACTTCTTAATCCAGACCCTAGTTTCTATGCTCCCACTTGGCCACCGTGGCTCCTCCTACAGCCGCAGCGTGACCCTGACCCTCGTCCCGGCTCTCGTTATCAGCCGAAATTAAACCCAGAAAATCCGGCACCCGCCCCGGGAGCCGCGAGGAGAAAGCGGGTGGCCAGAGCCGTGTTTAAGCGAATGGTCGGGGCAGGTCACGGCCGCAAAGAAATCATCTTTCCTTCACTGCCTCACACCCTGCTCGAGAGCCAGCCTCCGTTAATCGCCAGATGCAATCACTCTTCTCGGAGGAGGCTAATTGATGTATTACAGCCAGCTCCGGGCTCCGTTTCATCAGCTGTTTCCTGGAAACAGCCTTCCAGCCAAATTACACAGCGCAGCCCTCTTCGACTCGAATCTAATGGAGGATGGCACCCAGGCACTTCTTGAAGCTTGCCTACCCTGCCAGAATGGTCTTTGTCGTGTAGTACATGAAAAGAGGTAGGGAAACCTCCTTAAAACAGGCTCGGGCTTGCCTACATCTCTCACTCTTCTATTACAGCCCTCCCTCTGCTTCCTGAGCCTCGGACCAGTGGCTGGATGAGACTTGGGATCCAGCATCCTGCCTCTGTTGATGACCTCTGACAACAGCTAATCCCAGAACCGCGGGGAGAGCACAAGAAACTCCCACAGCAGGCAATTAAACCAACTTCCCCTATAGGCAAATGTTTTGTTTCAGAGCCCAGGCAGTTAGTGATCAATTTGTGCTCTGAGTGATGAGGATCTTTTAAAAATACATGGTGAAGAGCCCATCTTGGCTTCAAGCAGGGGGTCCTACTGTTCCCCACCTAAAGACTGAGTCGGTTCTAGGATCCTGGATTAGGCTTGGCAGAGGAGATTAAACCAGCAACTGCTAAAATCTACTCTGGCCCCACAATGATCTCCTCTTTGGCTGTGGCTACACAGTAGCCTTTTGCTTCCCTCTCCCAGCCTGAAGAAGTGGGGGGACACAACATCTCACGCAGGGCAGAGAGGCATAGATCAACTGATACTTGCAAAACCAAACTGGTTCTTACAGAGACTTTATATTCAACCCCAGCCTTCTTTAGGGAACTGAAACCTTTCCAAGAATTTGCCTTCCAGTCATAGCTGGGCTGCTGGAGAAGAGCCATCCACATTTATTCCTTCAAATAGTTGACAAAGGCTAGTGGCATCCTAACAGTTAATACTCCACTGCCAGTTCCAATGATGGCTTCCAGTGGTACAGCCCTGACCACCCCTGGCCCTGGCATGTGGATGGCACAAGCCAATGCTCAGCTGCTGCAGTGATTTAATAGAAGCTGAGCTAGGAAGAGAATTCCAATCAGAGCCTCATTGTCCCTATTATCACAATGGAGAGAAACCACCCCTCTTCACTCACCAGTGCTTAGCATTGGCCATTGAGTCACCTGGCTTATTGTCTTGGAGGTTTAAAGGCTGGAGTTTAGACCTCCCCTCTCATCCTGTGGAGCCAAAAAGGCAGATGCTGTAGTGGCTTGCATTATAAATCCAACTTCCCCAGTTCCCAAACCATGGTCACTGCCCTACACCCACCTGCAAAAACCAGGGCACTATTCACATTTAAAAATGCCAGCTTACAGCAATAACTACTGAGAAAAGCCTGAGGTCTTGCATACAGAAGAGGAGCCAGCCACTCATTATTTACTCAAAGAAAATAGGCTTGAACCCATTAAATGCTACCGTGTCACTATTATTCTTACATTCACATTTCTGTATGAAATAACAGAGTAATCCTGCCAACTCATAAAATCCCATTATGCAACACAGATAGAGATCACTGTGCCCAGTCTGGCACATTACTACCATTACACTTTAGCACCTGTTTAAACAGAGAAACACAAAGCAGGCAAGGGGCAGCTGCAGCTCATTGCCTCTGAGGCTCCTTTAAGTCTCCCAGTTGAAAGGGAAATCTATATGGCAGGGAGAGAGCCTCTGTTTGCTTTGTAATCCCACAGACACACATAGACATCAGCATTTTAGAAGGTAATGTTAATACCAGTCCCACCACAGGTGACATTACATCATAAGCAACCAATCAGGATATACAGGAGCTGGATCTTATGCACTGGATATCAGATACACGAAATGGAACTTAGTTTAATTTTCTACTGCTAAGAGAAATAATTAGGCAGGAGAAGACAAGGAGGACTCCAACCTGACCTTCCAGAAGAGCGGAGCAGGTTAAATAGAAAGCTATGTCTTGCTTTTATGGAGCATTATCTACATTTCTGGCTGAGATGGAAACTTGAAGACGACCAGCTCTCACTAGTTTGTATTGCTAGGGCACATCACAAGCTATATACATAGGGTGCAAGCTGCAGCCTCTCATTAGTATCTTAAATATCTCATTGCAAACTGTAAGTCACTGAAAACCCAACTGTAGGCACCAAACAAGCAGTTGCATTATTACCACCCCCAGTGAACACAGATGTGTGCAGAAGAGGTAAGAAAAGAGTACAACATGGATAGAGAACAGTTTGGACATGGGAGAGAGTTAGTAAATCTTTGCAGAGAAAGACTGTGATTGACTGGTATGAAGAGAGGATATGGATTCTACTCCTGTTGGTATAAAGTCCATTAGCTGCCATGAACTTCAGTTATTCCATCTGTACAATGGACACATGTATTTACCTTTGCAAAGCACTGAAATCATGGATTTATTTTGGCACAGCACCAGAAGCGATTGGCCCCTGCATAGAGCCCATATGTACCACTGCAATAAAACTATGTGCTAATAAAAGGGTGTTACAGATGTGCACAGGACTTGTTTCCATGTCCAGGCCTAAAGCCTCAGCACTGGCTCTGCTCCAACTTGTCTTCCTCATGGACACTTGAAAAAAGAGGGAAAAATAGAACTCAAATTGCTTCTGTCAGAGAGAGCCGTGAACACAGAATTAGAAGAGGCTGGGATGGCAGTATTGTGTCAGCCCATCTCCTCCAAGAGGCCAGGTCAGGATGATCCCTTCAGTGCTTTGTCCATTTCAACAGCTGAGTATCCCAGGTCCTCTCATTCCAGAGTCATCTTCTCTATTCTCTGAGATCAGCCAGAGGTAGACGCTAAAAGTACCCAATGGGCCCTGGTTCTTGCTTGCACAAAACCCTCCACATGCAGCAACAAGCTGGGCATGGGCTTCTAAATGGGCATAACTGGGCCCCAACCAGAGAAGAAAGGGAGCAATACAGAAACAGGGGCTCAGGTGCAAGGGAGGGAAGCCCTCCAGCAGTGTAGCAGGTGGGCTTTGAGGCAAGCTGAGCCCTGGGAAGGAAGTTGAAGAAGGCTTTGTAAAGCTACTTCTCACATGAGCATCACTGTGGGCTTCTCCATCAGTAGCAGAATCAAGCTGCAAGCTCCCTTTAGAAGAGCCCATCAAAAAGATCCAAGTTGCTGACACACAAGCAAACAAGCTGCTGCTGGAAGGAAGGTAGCAGTAGTGGGGGAAACGGGCAACCGAAGAATGCTTCTGTCCCTCCACGACCGCCCTTAGGTGCTATTTCATAAAATCATAGAAATTTAGGGTTGGATGGGACCTCTGGAGGTCATCTAGTTCAACCCCCTGCTCAAAGCAGGACCATCCCCAACTAGATCATCCCAGCCAAAGCTTTGTCTAGCCAGGTTTTGAAAACATCCAAGGATGGAGATTCCACCACCTCTGGGTAACCGGTTCCAGTGTTTTACTACCCTCCTAGTGAGAAAATTCTTCTTAACTTCAAACCTAAACTTCCCTTGCTGCAACTTGAGACCACTGCTCCTTGTTCAGTCATCTACCACCAC